TTTCAGAAAATGAAACATCATACAACATTATTTCTGCAGCCATGTGGTATACTTCTATTAAAATAAACTCAAGTGTATAAGTACATCATATGAACCATAAAAAAGCCAAATAGCTAAATGCATATGCAAAATTTTTCATCTCCAAACAGCTAACTACAGGTATAGGCAAAATATCTCTAAAAATATCTCTTTTCCATCACACTGAAAACTTCATTTCTCAGTTGTACCCATCATATAAGTTAACAGACACAAATATAGCCTATTTTTCACACAGATATGCAGAAAATCTGTCACCATTGTTTGACTCCCTACCAACAGGATTTCACTTTTAACTTTTGCTTTTAAATGCAGTCTTAATGCATCCACATTGTATGTGTGCATTCTTTCAGTAATGAATGTGTATCTTCTCCACACAAGATTTGATTCCAGAGGGTATTGCTTGAATTTTAATGCTTTGGTACATTGGATTACAATGTGTGTATTGTTTTCTGAGCATTATAACAGTGAAAATAAAAAGCATTTCTATGTGCCAAAATTGAACGGCTGTGATTAAAGGTGTTCTTTTGTTGCTCAGTGAGGTGTTTTCAATACAAGCCAGTTATTGCAGAAAGCAATGTTGGAAGTGTATTGGCATATGTTGGTGTGGGTAAGACTTTTAACTCTGTTACAGCCGTGCTTATAAAAGAGCAATGTAAGAAATGGTTTAGATAGGTTATTTTTTTAGGAAGAAAAGTTTTTTGGTTGGTTTTGGTTTTTGGTTTTTGGTTTTTGGTTTTTTTTAATTTGCCAGGCACTTTCTTAACATTTAGCCCTATCCTCTATAGTTCTTCTGAAGTTTCTTAGCACTTACCTAGCACTGTGTGGAAGTGGCTGACTGGGTACAGGGTGTGCATGGCATTTGCAGCTCAGCCGCCATCGTTACCTTTGGCCAAGCCCCTTCACCTTTCTTGGCTGCCTGCCCCAAGGCTTCTGGGAGAGCATGAAGACCTGTGATAGATGAAGAGTTTGGCTCTTTAGCAGTCCGTTCATGTTTCATTTCTTCTATACACAGCAAGTGGTGATATTGTTTAATTTAGAGCTGGACATAGAAAGCAAGAGGTGATGTTTGTTGCACACGCTCTGTGTACCTCTCTAAAAAGGAGTTTCTGAGCTGATGAGTTACTGGTTTATTCTGACAGAAACCAGATATCTATCAAGGATGGAGCAGTGATAATTTTTAATGAATATCATAATGAATTTCATATAGCCCAGATGCCTCTCCTGTTGACAAATGTTTCAGTTTCAGCTTTTTCAAAAACATTAAAAGAATAATGCGAAGACAGTCTGTTTGTCTTCCCTGGAATATGTAGATAGCTTTGAAGACATTCATATGCTTAATTAAAAAAAAAAATTAATTCCCTACTCTTCCAGTAACAACTGTTTTCTGTAAAGGGAAGTGAGCCATTTTGGAGGTAGCATGAGGACACAGCACTGTACCCGGAGTTGCAGACAACTGCATCCTGACACAGCACAGCTCCAGGGAAGGAACTACTGTGCACTCTTGTCCCGGCGCTCCGGGAGGTGCTTGTTAACACAGTCTGCAATACTGTAGCTAAGGGAACTGTTCAGGCTCATCATGGAAAAAATTGGTCATTACCAAAGTTTGCAATGGGACTTGCTTGGTGCCTCTTTATGCTAGAGCAGTTATCCAAGCTGTAGTTTAAGAAGATACAGGGACAAAGCCTGCATTTCAATAATGGCCCTTGGTAGCTCCAAAGGAGCTGCTACTGGCAAACTCTGAATAAATAACATTTCCAAGAATTTATTTTATAATTTAAAAAAATCTCTTGGTGTTATTCTGCTCTAGCTAATGATGGCTGGGGGCTGGGTTCCTCACAAAAATCTCCATGCTCAGACATTTCCAGATTCTTCATTTTATTTTGTTTAGGACCATACTGAAAAATACCAGCCTCCTGATGTGAACACATCAAGTGCCTCACTCATGGCAGCCAAGTGGGAAAGCACTGCAGAGTCCAAGCTCCCCTGGTGAGGTGCGTAGGGGGCCCAGACCTCCTCCTCAGGCTCCCCAGTTCAAGTGTGCTATGGCTGTGGCTCCCCAAGGCAAGTCTGGCTGCATCTGCACCATGGAGGACCAGTTGCCATCCAACAACAGAGAGATGGAGATGATGGATGGAAATGATGGTCCTCGGGGTCACGTTTGGGCATGGCAGGCTGCTGAGAGCCTGGCTTTAGCATTCCCTATCTGGTGGATGGGGAGTGCCTGTGTGTGGGGGGAAGACGGAGCCTGCCAGAAGAGCAGCTGCCTGTCATGATGCATGATGTATTTCTGGGGGAAAAGAGAAGCAAAAAGGGGGCAGAGCATGTTGGAAGTGGGCTGTGTGCCTGTAGCACATCCCCAGTGGGAACAATTACCAGCATCACCCTGGGTTTACTCTCTGTGCTGATTCCCTAGAAAGATTTTTATTGCTTTATTTAAAGCTTACTTGCATTGCACTGACAGATACCCTTGCTGCAGTGTTATCGATTAGCTCACACAGCCTGAGGGTTGTCAGGCTGTTGCCATCAAAAAAGAGCTAAGTCTGTGTCATGATCATGGCCGGCTGTTGCAGAAAAGCAAAAGCCTCTCCAAAGCCTGCAGTGGAGCTGGAGGGCTGGCATAACCCAGCCATCCAAGTTGTGAGTTGCCCAGGGCTGCTAGCAGTGCTGTCCAACACATAAAAGTCTTCAAAAGCCAAAAAAAGCCTCAAAAGGAAAATTAAAGACCATAGAAATGATGAAAATGTTTCTTTGAGGTGGTCAATAATGTATAGACTATATCACTTACTGCTAAAAGCTGAAAAAGGATAAGAGAGTAAGAATTCCTGTTTGAGTCTCCAGGACCCCAGGATGAGTGTGGGGACAAATGTTTGGGCTAGGAGGGTGACAGGAGCGAGCCTGCAGTGGCAACAGGCAGTGCTGGGCTGAATGACTGCAGATGTGTGCAGTTCCTGTGCCTTCACATTATACATCATCTCCCATATCCTGGGCTGCATCAAAAGAAATGTGGCCAGCAGGTCCAGGGAGGTCATTCTGCCCCTCCACTTTGCTCTGGTGAGACCTCACATGCAGTACTGCATCCAGCTTTGGAATTCTCAACAGAAGAAGGACATGGACCTGCTGGAGCGGGTCCAAGGGGTCATGGAAATGTAAGGACTGGAAACACCTTCCCTATGAAGAAAATCTGACAGTTGTTTTTGTTATTCAACCTGGAGAACAGAAAGCTCTGGAGGGACCTTATTGTGGCCACCTTATATTTTTTATCAAGGCCTGTAGAGACAGGATGAGGGGCAATGGTTTTTGAACTGAAAGAGGTTAAGTGTAGAATGTACATAAGGAAGAAATTCTTTACTGTGAGGGTGGTGAGACACTGGAACAGGTTGCTCAGGGAAGCTGTGGATGCCCCCTCCCTGGAAGTGTTCAAGGCCAGGTTGGACAGGGCTTTGGGCAACCTGATCTAGTGGGAGGTGTCCCTGCCTGTGGCTGGGGAGTTGGACTGGATGAGCTTTAAGGTCCCTCCCAACCCAAACCATTCCATTATTCTATGGTTTTACCAGAAAATTCAGTTCCAACCCTTTGCTGGATGCTGTTAACTAATAGTCCCAGCCCTGTGCTGTCCTCCAAACATTTAAAGCCCACTCTGTCTTGCACGGCTTTCTCTTGGTGCAAATATGTTTTCAGTGGTTTCTTATTCAGGGCAGTTTTTGAGATGCACAGTCTGCAGGGAGTGAGCAATAAGGCTTTTACTTTCCTCTCCGTGTCTCACAATTCAGCGCCCATGGGCTGTGAGCTCTGGGAGTACAGTGGACCTCCAGGTGCAGGGAACAGCATTTTAAAGCTTACTCTTTCTTTTACCCTTCGCTGAGCATTATTTGGCATGCATTCCCACAGCCCTTTTGCCATGTTGTTAGCCCAGCAATCAGCTTCCCCCCTTCATTGAGCTCAGTGGGAGCCAATACAGAAGTTTATTAGTCTGAAAATTAGCCCTGGCAAGACACAGGGCTGGCAGAGCACCAGTAAAACCACTGTGTCTCAAACAAACATGGTCCCCATTGCAAGTCTGCCTCACCTCAGTTTTCCCACCAAGCAGCCCCCCCACCTCGCTAGAGCTGTCTCCTACTTAGCTAGAAGTCAAGTCTATCTGAAGCAATGGCAAGCTTAGGTGCTGCTCCTAACCTAGCAGGAGGGAGGTCCTTCGCCTACCCACTCTTAATGGGTGCAGTTGTGGGGATGCCTCAGGTAAACTTGAAGGTTGCTAAGTTCACTTCCAAAATGGAAAACAGCAATGAGCTGATTACTTTGTGTTACTTATTTTGAAATTTGGTTTGTGTATGCTGGCTGTTTTCACTCCTCATTCATCTGTGATGAAAGCTCATATGATAGATTCAAACAGACAAGTATGGCTTTTAGCAGGTAGAAAGAGTACACATCTCCAGATGCCTTATCATGTCTTGAGATGTATGGAGTATTTTGGGACTGTCCTGGAAATATAGTAACCAGACATTTTAATTAAAAAGATAATTACATTCACTTTTTTTTTCTTATATTGCATGGATTCAAGCCAACAGGTGCTTTTGTTGTGAATCTGAGGGCCAGAATTTATTGAAAGGCTGACTGTCAAATAATAAACCCACAATAGTGGATGAATTCCAAAGCAATTTATTCCAGTTGAAGCTGGGGAGTACATCAGGCTCTCTTCATTCAGTCAATACACTTCTTGATTTCCATCAGATTTGGGATGGATGGCACCTTGTTTGACCTGGAGCAATCCCGGGAATGCCTGTGTCCAGTAGCAAATCCCGGAAACATTGGCCAAACCCCCAGTAGGAGGCTCACAGCCTCCCTGCAAAAGGAAGTAATTAATTTCATATCTTCTTCTTAGTCTCAGACCACTATCTCTTGGATCCAAGTCTCGTTCTGGACCAACATGAGAAATAACTCCATCACTATCACCGAAGAAAGTATGTTGCAAAATCCCCAGAGGAGTTTTTATTTAAAATGCTACTATCATAAAATTCCAGACTATGAAATTAAGACCTTGGATTCCCATTCAAACCTTACCACCCACCCCCTTGTTTTTAAAATATATAGATACATAATCACAAAACATAAAACATGCTGCAATGATACAAATATATTTTTGATATGGAAATTACAGTACATTATAAACCATGAAAACAAATTGAGGCACTAGACTGTACATTAGCTCTGTTCTGCACTGGTTGTGAAGCAGATAGACTTGCTTTCAATGAACAAAAGAATATTTTCTTTGTTTAGTGAACATAACTTTACGGGTCATATCAAATGATGTGCTTTGTTGTGAGACATCACCAGGGTTTCTGGTCCTTTCAGAACCACATGGCACCTACACAACATGTATCACTGCCACAATATGAAAAATAATAATTTTATTGAATGTACAACTCAAAAAAACCCCAAAACCCCATCAGTTATTTTTAAATAAATAATTATTCCATACAGTTGTTAGTTTATATTACACTGCATTGGCCATTGAAACAAATGAAGTTTAATAAATAATGGACGGGACTGTCTCATTTACGCCTCCGTTCATAGTTCTGTGCTATGCTCCTTTCAGAGGATCCTGCAAAAGATGAAGCAGAATGAAGGACACGGTGCAGCCTTGTGTAAACCCCAGCAGCACAAGGAAACGTTGCAGACCTGGAGCCTGCTGGGTCACCGTCAAACCCGTCAGAGTGTTTGAACCCAAGATGAGGGCTCCCTGACCAACCCTGAGCTGCTCTGGTTTGGTTTTACCCCTCAGACCACACTGTCCTCCAGGAGGCTGAAGGTCTGAGCAGGGCTTTTGACCTCTCCTCTGTTGAGCTGTTTGAAGCACCATTAACTCAGAGCCTCTTTACCTCCCAGTAAACATCTAACTGATGGGATCTGACTGCTCAGATCAATCTGGGGGTAGAGGCTTTCTGCATCGACATTGCCACCTTCTGTTCTGCACAGCCAGCTCTTTGCCAGGTTTAAACCCTCTCTGTCCCCAAGCCCTCTGCACAGTGATGCCTTTTACTAAAAGTCTCAGACTGCCCTGTGGACCAATTGCAGCCTGAAATAGTCTTCAGTAACACATTTAGCAACTAATAGCAGTAGATCTCTCCTTCTTGCTCTTTTAAAATGAGAAGGAAACCTCAAGAGCCCTTCTTGGGCAGAGCCTAACGATAGGGTGACAGAGCTGGTCACCAGAGTCATCCTTGCTTTGTCTCCGAAGGGTGGATTGCTTTCACAGAGTGTACACATGCCTGACTATTGCATGCAAAGACACAGCTGGTTTGGGAAGATTCAGCACTTCATCCTGCAGGGAGCTGGCATTTTGGATCAGTAAGTTTTAAATTAGGAAGACTTCCATTTTCACCAGGCTCAATGCAAAATGAGTTGATCTTTCTTTCTCAATAGGAATTGTTATGGTAACTTTACCATACGTGTGACTGTTTTCTGGCTCCCACCTGGAGCATTCATCTGACAGACTGCACAGCCGGGACACAGCCAGTGTCAGACCCCAAACAGGGACTGAGACATCAGCAGCCCGTTACCCTGCTTTGTCACACCAGGCTTTAAATCACCACCGCTCTCACATCCAGCTGTGGGCGGTGTAAACTCCTACACATTGCCAGGGGACTCCGGGGCTTTCTGGAGAAGAAGAAAACCATGGTACCAAGGCATGGCACCAAGTAAAGTTCCTGCCCAGGGCAGCCATAGCACACACTCCTCATCTTGCTTTGATGACACAATCCTTAGGACCTATCTCTCCTCCAGAGGAGCTGAAGAAACTGCTTACCATTTTCCTCTCAGGGAATTGAGCAGAAAAGTTCTAGTTTTACCTATAAGGCAGGTGTTACATAGCCTGACAGGATAAAACTTTGTTATTCCCCTTTATTACAAATGCTACATATCAGTATCCCGACTATATCAGCAATTTTGAAGTGAGGGCAATCAAATCTTTACCTATTTTAAGCATTTGCTGTGTTTTACATTCTCATATTAATGTAAATGTAATCCCAGTGGAAACCAAACCCAATTTCTTACTTCCAGGCTATTTACTTTTGTGATAGCAGATATATTTACAGGTATTATGCATTTAATAGCTATTGCCACCACAGATAAATTATACGAAGTTATTCATGATACATGACAATTTGCAAACTGATACACAGAGCAATATTACTAGTCTGAATGGGGTTTAATTGAAAATAAAAGTTACTGACAACCATAATTGCAGAATATAGATCACAGCGTGTATCCACATAATCTAAAGGTGTCAGCTAGTAATTTAACTTTTATCATCCATTTAACAAAACAGTGAGAACTATTTCAGAGGCATGAAATACGCATTAGGTTTTTGGAGGTTTTTTTTAATTCCTTTTCTAGGGAATTAACTGACAATTTATCTTTCACAGTGAGGGATTACATCATGACAGCTCTATAGCACAAGGAAGGTAGTACTGGTAGTCTGCAGTTGCCCACAGGGGTTGTGCTCATGAGGGAGAAGGATTCTGCCCTATATGGATGCTATGGGAAAATAACAAAAAAAAATCACATTTTCAGTTCAAAGCTTCAAATTTTCTTTTGTTTTGGTTGGTTGGGGTTTTTTTTAAGTAAAATGAAAATATGGAGGAGGCTGGGAATGTTTAACTGCTGCTTCTGCAGAACGAGGTGGTGTTAATGACAGATCTCTGC